AAAGTGAAAAGGCTTTTGCGCAGGTTATAAATGGAAACAGACAGATGGGCGGATTCATTCTTTCTTACCATTTTCACAACCTCGGGGTAGGCCTGTTCCGTCAGGTAGCCCCGGCTTACGGTCACGTAGTCCACCAGCTCGTTGAGCGTGGAGCGCTTGTACTCCTTCATCTTGAGGTCTGACAGCGTGTCCATGAAGTCAAAGACAGTACAGCACTGCTGCAGCTTCTTCAGGAACAGCTCCGGCTGCTCCGCCGCCGGCACGTCTAGACAGGCAAAAGCAAACACAGGGGGAAGAGAAAGATGATGACAAAGGTTAGATAAATTGGTAAAGACACATATCTGGAGCGAGCAGATGCTTCTGACTCCCGCAGCTACCAGAAAGCTGTAATAGCAAACACCACATGGTCAAAGACGGGCAGAGTAAAAACAGGGATTTGAGCAGACCTGGTGGGACAGAGGCCTGACACACAAATAACCACATTAATATTTATTGATTTATTTTTTCATTACCATTTTATGAGAAAAGCAATTAATGGTCATGGTCAGGATTCTACCCTTTGAAACTAAAAACCTGCTTTCTCCGTGAATTTACAAACTAAACAATTAGCACAGGAAGTTGTTGGTAATGAAAACCATTTTTAGCCACATTGAGATCAAGTTATTCTTTCTTTACTTCTTAGTCAATTGTCTACAGGCAGATTGGGTTAAAGACACATCCAATACCATGTAGGAGTTAAACTGTTACTGATCTGCCCTCATCTCTTGCTAATTTTGTCGCTTCCTGAATCACCTGTTTTAAGATTTGGAGCGAAAGCAGAGCATCTCTGTTTGGTGTAAACACAAGATGAAGTAGGTGGGTAGTTACAGCCACAAAGAAGAAAATGTGTGACTTTGCCAAGAAGAAGAAATCGGAGTTTCCGAGCTCTCCAATAGATGTTCACGGAGGACTGTTCAAAGGAAACGAAGGATGCTACCAGTGCATGCCTCAGTTGTAAAAGTGTGCTTCTTGCTCTGCAACAGCTTTTAACTTATTCATCTTCCCTGCAGACCCCTGTCTGCACAGGCAGGATGAGTGTGACAGCCTCATTATCCAGCAGCGAGTGTTTCTGATGGGAGAGGCAACGCTGTCACGAATGGTATGGATGTGCAGGCAGAAGAAGGCGGCAGGTGTCTTTATTCTGATCCCACTGTGACAGACACGACAAGAAGGTCGCACAGAGTTCAGACCTGCGGGGGGAGATGAGCAACAATCTTCCCAGATCGCCACAACTCAAGACCCGGTGCTCTCAACCCGGCAGGACTGGGCCATTATTATGTAAGAGATAAGCTGCTGCTCTGAAGACAGCACACTGCTACTACTGTGCATGTGTGCGCTCCACAATTACACTTCAAAGCGCTTGGCTGCATTTTGAATTCTATTGCTACTGACGATGAGTCACAATATACATGTAAATGAGGGAGAAAGTTCGGGAGTACTGGTGAAATGACTTTTTCACCTCACCATAGCATGCAGGTTTTGTGATAGTGAGTAGGTGATAGGGCTGCACGATTTTGCATAAAATGAGAATCACGATTTTTTGGCTTAGAATTGAGATCACGATTCTCTCACGATTTTCTTT